TATAATTTTCTTTCTTAGTGATGTCCTTCCCTGCTTTTGGTATGAGGGTTATGCTTGATTCATAAAATGTAATAGTAAGTTTTCCATCCTCCTGTATCTTCTGGAATAATTTGAGTAGAATTGGTGACAGCTCTTTCCTAAATGTTTGGTAGAACTCACCAGTGAAGCGATCTGGGACTGGACTTTTTTTTTTGGTTGGGAGTTTTTTTTGATGACCTGATCAGTTTTTGTTGTTATGGGTCTGTTCAAGTTTTCTACTTCACTGTGTGTAAGTTTAGGTAGGTCATGTTTATCTAAAAATGTATCCATCTCTTCTAAGTTTTCAAATTTGTTGGAGTACAACTCTACATAGTATTCTGTTTTTATTTCCTTTACTTCCGTTGTGACATCGCCCATGTGGTTTCTAATGTGTATTATTTGTGTTTTCTCCCTCATTTCTTTTGTTAGGTTTCCAGTTAATCCTTTCAAAGAACCAGCTTCTTGTCCTGTTTATTGTTTCTATAGTTTTTGTTTTCTATCTCATTTATTTCTGCTCTAATCTTTATTCTTTTCTTTTTGTGGCTGTAGGTTCCCTCTGTTGTTCTGTTTCTAATTGTTGTAGATGCTGTGTTAATGCGTTGATTTTGGTTCTTTCTTCTTTTTGGATGTGTGTGTTTATTGCAACAAATTGTCCTTTCAGCACCGCTTTTGTCATGTCCCTATGATTTTGGTATGTTGTGTTTTTGTTCTTATTTGTTTCTAGGAACTTTGTGAATTCATGTTTAATTTCTTCTACTACCCAGTTGCTTTTCAGCAGGGTGTTATTCAGTTTCCATGTATTTGACTTTATTTCCTTGGTCTTCGTATTACAGATTTCTAATTTGATAGCATTGTGGTCTGAGAAGTTGCTTTATATAGTATTTTGATATTTGTAAATTTATGGAGATTTGCTTTGTGGCCTAAGACATGATCTCTTCTGGCGAATATTCCATGTGCACTGGAAAAGAATGTGTATTGTGCAGTTGTTGGGTTGAATGCTTTGTACACATCTATGAGGTCCAGTTGGCTGATTGTGTTATTTAGTTGTTCTATGTCTTTTTCAAGTTTCTTTCTGGTTGTTCTATCCATTTTTGAAAGTGATGTATTAAAATCACCCACTATTATTGTGGATTCATCTATTCTTTTCTTCAAGTCTATTAGAGTTTGATTTTATATTTTGGACCTCTTTCATTGGGAGCATAGATATTTATTATGGTCATGTCATCTTGTTCAATTGCCCCTTTAATCATGAGATAATGTCCATGTTTATCTATTATGTTGGTTTTTGCCTTGAAGTTTATTTTATCAGAGATTAGTACTGCCACTCCTGTTTGTTTTTTATTTCAATTAGCTTGGTATTTTTTTTTCTATCCTTTTACTTTTAATCTGTTTTTGTCTCTATGTGTGAGATGTGCCTCTTGCAGACAGCATATTGAAGGATCTTGTTTTCTTATCCATTCTGCCTCTCTCTGTCTCTTAACAGGTGCATTTAATCCATTTATATTCTGTGTAATTATCAATAGGTATGGATTAATTGCTGCCATTATGGTTTTTTTTTGTGTGTGTGGTGTTGCTGCTTTCTTTATTCTGTGTGTCTTCCTTCGTTGAATTCATGCTTTTTGTGTTCTTTCTTGTGAGTTTCCTCATAGTTTTGTTTCCATCTTCTGGGATTTTCATTTTCTTGGTATGTTGTGAAGTGTTAATTTTCTTTGAAGTTGCCTTATAGTCCATTAACTTTTCTCTCCATTTAGTGCAGTCTATTTTATCCTGTAATGTACTTTACCTTCTTACCATCTGGATCTCTGTTCCTATGTGTTTACCTTTTTTTACATTGTAATTATTTTGATCATAGGCTGACCTCCCAGATTCTCTGAGTTTTGTTCTTTTCTCGACTCTTCCTTCTGTTGATTTCATTCTGGGAGGTGCTTCCTCGTATGTCAGTGTCTGGTTGTTGTCTGTTCTTGTTGGTTCACAGTCCATAGAACTCCGTTTAGGATGTTTTGTAGCACATGGTTGTTTTTTGCAAAATCCTTTAGCTTCTGGTTATCCTGGAATGTCTTGATTACACCGTTTTATTTGATCAATAGCTTTGCTGGATAAAGGATTCTTGGTTGGCAATTTTTTTCTTACAGTGTTTTATATCTGTATCCCCATTGCCTTCTTGCTTCCATGGTTTCTGCTGAGAGATCTGAACTTAATCTGAATTGCTTGCCTTTGTTTATAACACTTCTGTTTTCCCTATCTGCTTTCAGAAGTGTCTCCTTATCTTTGATTTTGGAGAGCTTGATTATTATATGTCTCAGTGATTTTCTTTTGGGGTCTATCCTTCCTGGGATTCATTGAGCTTCTTGAATGTTTATCTTTTCACTTTTCAGAATGTTAGAGAAATTTTCTTCCAGCAGTTCTTCAACTATTTGCTCAGTGAACTTGTGTGATTCTTGTTCTGGAATGCCGATAATTCTTAAGTTATTCCTCTTCATGTTGTCCAACATGAATCTTAGACCTTCTTCAGATTTTTTTTATCCTTTTTTCTATTTGCTCTTTTTCTTAGTGGCATTAAGAGATTTGTCCTCCAGCTCTCTAGTTCTCCCTTCCATCTCTTTTATTCTACTCCTTTTCCCTTTCAGAATATTGTCTATTTCTCATAGCCTATTATTGATCATTTGGACCTCTTTTTGTAGGTTTTGAATAGTTTCCAATGCTGTCATCTATCTTAATTGATTGTTCCTGTAGCACTTTCCTGACTTCTTCTTTATTTTTCTCAACTCCATTGTAAAGTGTTTTTGAAACATTTTATGATCATTTTTCTGAATTCCTTCTCAGGCATTCCCAAAGTCTGCCCTCCTTCCAGAATGTAGTCCAGGTGTACCTCTAGGACATTTGTCTCAGACATTTTATCTTGTTTCTGGACATGTGCTGATTTGGTCATCTGCTTTTGCTTCTTGGACATGTTTAATGTTTATCTGTGGCCTTAATACTTA